CCCCCCCCTTCTTCTGCTCAATACAAAAGAGAGGATAGACGTGATCGAGCTTCTTGACTCTTTGGATCATTATGGTATAACTGCAGTACACCCAGCAAACACGTCTTCACTTGCCGTACACGATTGGTACTCTCATTCACTACTTCCTCTTGTGAAGATCGTCCTCTCACCTCAGCGAGATTGGATTTCAGTAAACGGAACATTTCTTCCACATCTTCACTCGGAAATCGTTCCGGCACTACACGGGCATCCACCAATTCATCTATCCAATATTGCATACGTGAAAAGTACTTCTCTACATTTTCATTTTCCCCCAATGATTGTAATTTTCGTTCTTGTAGGAGAATCTCTGCTCGTACGAGAAGGACTTCACAGAGAGAGATGAGTCTCCGCACAGAGGGATCACCAAGAATAGGGGAAAAATCCCGTTGAATGGCATTTAAAGCAAAAACAACATTTTCTGCAGCAATATCTCCAATAGTAGCGTGTACACGAGCTAAGAAGAGAGCTTCTAAAGCGGAAAGGACTGCAAGTGCAGTAAATTGAGAAGAATGATAATAACGTTTGGTCATATCCATTTCACTTAATCGACGAACATCCATACCAAGTTCTCTTCGAAGATCTTGCAACTCATCATAAGCCTTTTTCTTTGCTTGTTGAATTGTTTTTCGTAGTCCATCAAGTTGTTCACTTTCTTCTGGGAGACGAATACGTTCAGGCCCAACAAGGGAATCCATAATTCTATTTTGTAAATATTGTGTAGAGGCTCCATGTAAAAGATCTGTAGTGGCTGCGGCTGGTAATGGATTTTGTTGATTTGATGATCCACCTCCACTTATAAGATCTACATTCATTTGTTTTTGATAATGTTCAAGAAATTTACGTAAAATACCTTCTAATCGAGATTCTATTATATGACCAGTAACTTTATCAATAATAGTACCTTGCATAATAAAATACGTTACTGGAAGTTTTGCCCGCTCAACGGAGAAGGCAGAGGCAAGATTTCTATTTTCATCCGCATTTATAGTACAAAGCTTTAACCATAATTTCCTTGTACTAGACTCATTGCTGTTACTACTATTATTATTATTATTATCTTCATTTGTATTTTTCGTTTGATTTGTCTCCTCATTAAGTCTATTTACAAGACGTTCTGCATGCGTTAGGTATGCGTTACAACTACTACTATCTGGTCGATAATATACAAGACAAATCGCTTGTTGTGATTGAATTACTTCACTTTCAAAGGATGCTGCATCTGTCTTGTAAACCATACTACGATAAGATGTACACAAAAAGTAATTTGATATCATCGGTGAGTATCTAAAAAGAGTCCAATTATTCCCAATTCCTCCTCTTTCTGTATACAATTTACAGAAATGCCTACTGCCAGAGGAAAACCATCTACATGGACCTACAAGTCGCATTCTTGAGTTTCCAAGCATAAAGAGAATAATGTTTGTAAAGAAATAAAATAAAATATATAAATATATGTATATGTATATATATATACTCAAAAAAAAAGAGAGAGCTAACAAAAGGGAAAGAAAATAAAAAAAAAAAAGAAATGTACTTGAACTAAGAAATACATATATATTTTTATATATTGAAAAAGAAACACCAAGAGAATAACCAATAAATAAATAAATAAATAAAAAAAAAAACCATAATATAACTCAATAAAAGAGAAAATCTAAAGGGAATATAAATACAAATATATACACTAAACGATAAAATAAAAAAAAAATAAAAATATTTAAGTAATCTTCCTGGCCTGTTAAATTCATAAGATTGCCATATACTTTCATCTTTACCTCCTCCAATCCCCATTCATGATATGGTTTATTGATGAGAGATGATATCTTTTGATGATGATTAAACTTTACAGATCCAGAGAGAATCTGATGGGAGAAGTGAAAAAAACACTCCTTCCGGCCGGAATCGAACCAGCGACCCTGTGATAGCTGCTTATCATTCTACAGTCACATGCTCTACCAATTGAGCTACAGAAGGTTGATGCCTCCAACCAATGGATGGAGGAGAAGAGAGAAACTCTGAAAGAATACGAAAACCCTTTTTCTTTTATTCTTTCTCTTTCTATTTATTTATTTATTTATTCATTTGTATGTGTGTGTGTGCATTTAATTATATTTGGTTCTGTAATAACCTCCTCTTTTTTCTTTTATGAGATGATATTGAAATACCACATCATCAAATACCTTTTTCTTTTTTTCTTTTGTTTGTTTCTATGAAAGAAAGAAAATCAAAAAAAGAAAAGAATAAAAAAAAAAAAAAACAGTAAAATAATATTTTTTAACAGAAGAGTGAGAGAGATTATTCTCCTTTTCACCAAAAAAAAAGAGAAAAAAAACGTACAATGAATGTTTTTTTTTTCTTTTTTTTTGTTATCCGCTCTCTTTGTGTAAAGAGGAATTTGTCTCGTGGAAGGAACTTCGTATTGGGAATAAAAAAAAAAGAAAAAGGAAGAGATAGTTATAGAATAAGACAAATCATAAACTCTTTTTACTCCTTTAATGCTTTTTTTTTTTTTTCTCTCTTCCTTTCCTTTTACCCTCTCTTCTTCTTTCTCTATAAATTTAACATAAATATATATATAAATAAATATTTTTTATATAAATAAGTAATCACACTATGGGATTATTGTCTGCGCCGTCTCAGTAGTTATGCATTTCTCTTAGCATGACATCTAAATTTAAATAAATCAGCAAAAAAAAAAAGAAAACAAAGTGGTTTAATTAATAGTTTTCCATTCTATCATCCATTCTGGTAACAATAAGGGGAAAACAAAGGGAAATAAAAAACCAACATAAAGAACAACAATAACAGTAACATTATCAAATGAAATAATAAAAAACTCCATTTACCTACTGGTTACTGAATTACTTTACTTCATATCTATTTTATTTCTTTAGGTTCACCCAATATTTCTATGAAATAATAAATATAAATATAAATATATATATCACCATCAAATAGATTATTAACGTGGAGGTGCAATCTACTCTTCAAATTTCTTTTTCTCCTTCTCCTTCTCCTCCAGTAAACGTCTATACAAAAAAAAAAAGTTAACAATGATTAATAATGACAGTAAAGACAGTGTAGTCGCAGCTGTAGAAGTTTTTATATACTGTCATATACACATGTAAATTTCTTTCTTTCTTATTTTTTCCTTCTTCACTCTTTGCAATCCCCATATTCCTCGATACTTCCCCCCTTTCTTTCTTTCCTTTCCCATCACTCTCTCTCTCTCTCTCTCTCTCTTTCTCTCAAATTACAGCCATTCCTCTTCTGTAGCACCACGCACTGCCTTTGCAATTGGGAAACGCGGCACATCCTGTGTGGATAATTCCTGATACTGCACGGTGAGATATTGACCCAGTAGTTGTTCCCGTTTTCCCCACAACGAGAGTCGCTTTTCATATGTTGTCTTTGGAGTGGCATTAAAGCGAATCCCATTCTTAGTTTCACAGACAAATGCCCCAAGTCCACCTTTAAATTTCCCTTGTCCAGGTAAAAAGTCCACAATACGATATTCCGCATCATGCATGGTTTTATACTTTAAAAGGCCAAAACTGCGTTTACCATGTTCATATGGAAAACTAGGGCGGCGAATCATTACACCTTCAAAGCCTTGAGAACATGCTTCTTCTAGAACTTCATCCATTTCTTCTGGAGAGACTTGTGCAGCGGGTACATGATATAATTTAATTGGATTTTCTCCATTCTCAAGTAATCGCTTTTTTCGAATAATTTTTCGCTTTTCTTCATCATGTTGATAGGCACTAATACGTTTGGCACCACAAATGGGAATTAATTTCTTTAATAGACGATACCGCTCACTAAAAGGGGCATTCGGCGCAGAGAGTTTAGCCGAATACATAATATCAAAAGCAAAATACTCCAAAAGTTCTGCTTGACGTTTTCGCACATCATCCGTTACTGTTTTCTCAAGACGTCTAACGAGACCGTTAAGTTCCTCAAAATTACACTGCGGTGCGAAGAGTTCACCATCTAAGATGAGTGTGGGGTCGGATTCAAATAATGGCAGTACATGTGGGACTAATCCATGACAACATTCTAATAAAATACCACCACGAGAAAAAAATTGAGGTTCTTTGCGACGTTCATTATATCCAATAAGACATCGGATACCATCAATCTTTGGAGAAGCAAGAAGTAATTCTTTATGTTGTTCTTGCTGTTCATCCTCTTCTTTTTTCTTTTCACCATTAGTGGAATCATTATTTCCTCCATTGAGAAGATATCCTACTACCGATTCCCATTTCTGTGCGAGCATGGGTTGAATATTCCGTCCTTCCCACTCTGGATTCGTATGCAAAACACTTCTATAATTTGTATGAATCATACGTGGGGCTCTCAAGTAGGTCTCATCTCCTGTTTCTGTCTTTGTGGCTGTTGCTAATTCGGGTTCATTCTCTTTCACATCCTTATCCTTATCCTCATCACCGGAGGTTTCTGATGATTTTTTACTTTTATTACTCGTCTCCAGTGTTCGCTGGGGTTTATTACAAAGTGGACACACCCCATGTTGATCAATAAACTTCGCAATAGACATTTCAAACTCCTGAAGACATTGACTACATCGCCAAACTGCCATTTTTGTGCATGTTGGAGAAATATGATGGGGTGTGAGCATAACGGTTCCCCAACAGGGTCCAACCCAGCAAGCGGCGAGATGCGGAAAGGCGGCTTGTATAGATGTATTTTTTAATTCATGATATTTCTCATACTGGGCGCGTGTGCGGGGACGACCCACACCAAAGAGCAGCGATGCATCTTTAGATGAGACCGCGGCATACAATAGTCGGGTACCCCGTGACCACATTGGCTGGGTTCACCTCCTAAAAAGGAAATAATAATAATAATAAAGGAAAAAGAAAAGGAAAAGAAAAGAGAGTAATAATAATATATACATTTGTATCGAGGAGGAAAAAGAGGAGGAGGAAGAAGAAGAAGAAGAGGAGGAGGAACATCAGATAATAATATCCTCTTGTATACATGGTTTCTTTCTTTCTTTTTCTTTTATGCACCAGAAAGCCAAGAGTTTCTCATGAGGTGCCAGTGAAGTTTTGTTGATGTTATTTTGCACAGTTTTGCTTTTTCTTTTCTTCTCTCTTTTTTTTTTTTCTGTTTACAAACAAGTCTATTAATGGTTGTACAGCAATCAAAACAATACAAAGTCAACATCATCATCATCACCGCAAAAGAAAAACAAAAACAAAATAAACAAATCAAAAAAGTACAGTGAACACGGTTGAGCATACATTTAACTGCACACGTTGCAGTTTAGTGTGAATAGAGGTGGGGAGAAGGGGGAGGGGGACTGTAGATAATATATATATATATATATATATGTATTAGAGAAGAAAGAATCTAAGTGTGATCTACACAGGACTTCTCATACACATTACATATCTATATATATATACATTATTATATTTACTATAATCTCTCTCACTTTCCCTTTTCCCCCTTTTTCATCCCCGCCCCTATTGGAGAAGAGAAAAAATAAACAACAACAACCCGTTGCATATATACAAAAAAAGGCCTTGTTCTTTTTTTTTTCTTTTACGTTATTTTTAATTGCTGAAAAGCAAAACAAAAAAAAAAAAAAAAAAACAAAGAAGAAAACAAAAAAACGGAACATGTCTCTATTCTTCTTTCCGTTTTTATTTTCTCAAGTACAAAAAAAAAAAGATATAAAATTACACACAGACACAGATACAGCCCACATATACAAAAATAAATGGACGTCAATACCCAATGCCAACAAGAGGGGGGTTTTCGTTTTACAAAAAAAAAAAAAAAAAAAAACGCAATCTCAACAACGAGAAAAAAGAAAAAAAAAAATAATAAAAATAATAAAAATACAAACCACATTAATATATGCATGTATTTTCTATTCAAAAAACAAAGAAGAAAAAAAGAAAAAAAATCTACTTTATAATAATCCAAGACCACATCTCATATCCAATCCTCACCACTTTTCGCCCCCCGCACACACTTCCCAATAGGAAACCGTGGAACCCCATTCGCGGAGAGTTCCTGATACTGCACGGTGAGTACCTTTCCTTTATATGTCTTTAAGCGATTCCACATATTTCGTTTATTCTCTTCTGTTGTCGCTGGGGCTACGGTGAAGTGATGACCGCCTTTTGTACGGCAGACAAACGCACCGAGACAACCCTTCCACTTTCCTCGTCCCTCCACACCAGAGACGATTACATACTCATCATCTTGCATGACTTTGTATTTAAGTAGATTGGGCGAACGAGAACCATAGGCATAACCAATAACCCCAATACGGTTCTTCTTACTATTATTACTATTACTATTCTTATTCTTCTTCTTCTTATTATTATTATTATTAGTGATAGTAATAGCAGAAGAAGTGGGTCCATCACGCCGTACAATAATGCCTTCATATCCGTCTGCTAATGAAAGTCGCAATACACGCTGCATGTTAGACTTTTCTACCGCAATGGAAGGGACTAATTCAACTGCTTTACATCCATTCTCTTCTCGCAGGGATGAAGTCAGTGTACTTATCATACTCTGAAGATAGGCATATCGTTTAGAGTAAGGTACACAAGACATATCAGAGAATTTCTTCGCATACATAATATCAAAGACATGATATTGAAGTTTTCCTTGAAGTTGTTCAATACTCGGTGTACGTCGTTCTCGAGTTGTACGAATAGCGGAGACCAACTGCTCAAAGTCATCTACATTGTGATTATATAATTCCCCATCTAATACGAGTGTGGGATCTTTTTCAAATAAAGGCCGTAGGGCGGGTTCAATGCGGTGATCACAACACTCAAAGAGAGTTCCCGAGCGACTGAAGAAACATAAACCTTTTTTCTGTGCATTCCAAGCTACAATACAACGAACTCCATCCAATTTAGGAGAAACATAAAGAAGTTCATTCTCATCTATTTTATCTTCTTCATTTGTATAATTTCGAGCGAGCATGGGTAGTAGATTGCGGGTTTCTACCACACGTAAATATCCATCATCGGCAATACTACTTTTCACACGATTGGCATTATCAGCTGCCAACACAGAACGTGAGTTATCTGGACGACAACGATGCTTCACCTGATTTATCATTATCTCCACATTTTCCTTTTTCTTCTTCTTCTTGTTATCACTACTATTGTTAACATCAATCCCATCATTATTATTGCTACTACTGGCATAGTTATTTCCATTCTCATTACTCTGCAGAGTTGGCATGTGTTTACACTTTGGACACGCCCCACCGGCAGCCACGTGGAGATCAATGCGTTTGTGATGTTCATGATGGCAATGTGAACAACGCCACCATGCGAGTTTGCGGCTTGTTGGAAGTACATGTTGAGGCTGCAGGAGTTTATTAGAGGCGGCGGTGAGCCAAGTGCGGGCCAAGGCCGGATGGAAAGAGGCCAAACTATCGGGCCGCACCGTGAGAGAACGGTTGGGTGGGGAACGGGCAAGGAGACATAATGTAGCGGTAAAGATTGGAGAAAGAATTGGACGATTTAATTGCATCTAGTATTATTGATTTTGTGTTTTTTTTTTTTTTTTTTTTTTTTTTTTCTTTTCTTTTCTTCTATTTTTTTCTTTGTTTTTATTTTTTTCCTTTTTTTTTCTGTTGTTTATTGTTTTTTTTTTTTTCTTTTTGTTTAACGTTTAGAAACGTTTAGCGTCTATTCCCCCTTTTTTTTCGTGGTGTATCTGTACTTTGTATATATATATATACTTCTCTGTGTTAATGGGAATAGGGGGAGGGAGGGTCTGAAAAGACCAAAAGCGAAGTCACTCGCTCTATTTGTAAAGAAGAAATATACCAATTGATATTATTAAAGAGAAAAGATAAAAAAAGAAAAAAGAAAAGAATTAATAATATATATATATATATATATATATATATATATAGGAAAACAATGAAAGAGAAATCTTTACACTCTACATAAATACGTCACTGATGCATTCCTCTCTTCATTCCACAAAATACAACACAGAGAGATGTGAAAGAACCAAAAAAAAAAAAAAGATAAAAACAAAAATATTCTCTTCACATCCAATAGAACCTTTTTTTTTTTCTTTTCTTCTTGTTTGTTTACTTACCAGAATCCAATGCGATACGGCTTAGGTACTCATGCATTTTATAAACGCTTTCAGTTCCATTCTTAACAGTCAATTGATCCACAAACGGAACTCGCACGTTTGGAAGCTCCGCATGTGAAGAAGACAAAATGACTTTGCTGGCGAGTTGACAAATAGGACTACGCTCCTGCATCTCAACAAGCCTTTGACTCTCTCTATTACTCCTATTACTATTATTACTATTAATAGTAGTATTAGTAGTTGTAGTATTAGTAGTATGTACTCGAAGTATTGTTGGGAGTTGTAGAAGCCAAGACTGTGTTCCTTTACGTGATGCCAACAGCCATTGTGTTTTCTGCAGCATCTCCATAGTGAACGCCGTACTTTCCTGCGATGATGTGCGTAAAAGCCACAATGCGAGAAGAGCCACTTCTTCTTCTAATAACAATTTACTCTTATTGATATCACCTTCTTTATATACTGTAGATGAACGGAGGAATAAGGCACAGAGAGCATAATGGATGATGCGAAGGATCTCTGCATATGTGAAAACTAATCGTCCTTGTGGTAATTTCATTTCTTTTGGTATTGGATGGAATAGAAAGAATTGCAAAAAGGCCGCTACTTCACACAACCAAGACTCCAACTGATGTGTAGACTGTGGGGTCTCATGTACAGCACAGCAGTAGTAGAGAAGTTCCTCCATCTCTGTTGTAAACATCACAGTATGGGAAGATTCTGTTGAGAGAAATATACCCTTCACATCCTCTGGGATATTATTATTATTATTATTATTATTATTATTATTATTATTATTATTGAGAGAACTCTCTGTGTTTGTACTCTCATTTATGTTAGACGTTTCTTTAAGAATTCCCGCTGTGGGGGATGTGAGCAACTGCTCTAATCGAGCCAATCGAACAAGATCCATCACACTCTCATGAATGAGTGAACGGACCTTTAATGGTAATGGCGATGCCCAATCACAACAACAAGAACAACTACTACGAGAGGATGTGGGGATAGTATTAGGAGAAACAACAGTGGAAGAAAGAGTATGAGATGATGTAAAGAACTCCAGCCATTGTTTTGCTGTTGGAGATCGTCCAATTCCCCATGATTTTTCCTGCAGCACATGAAGAGCTTTTTGCCATAAATTGCTATTCGTTATCATTTGTACAAAATGGGAGTTGGGACTAACACAATCTATATATATATATATATATAAATTATATGTGTGTAAACACACCTTCCTTTTACTGTTCCTCCCTTTGTTTTTTTTTTTTTTTTTATAAAGTGAGAAGAAAATAAGAGAGAGAAAAAATATTAATAATAGTAATAGTAACAATAATAATAATAACAAATAAATAATAACAACAAGAAAGGGAAAGGACACATCCATGTTAGATATGCCACTGGTTGAAGTATAAATTATAGATGTGCATTCCATTCGACATTTCCTCGTATGCACGCAGCCACACTCACACTCTCAGATAGAAACACATAAAGAGAGAAACACAAGATCTTGATCGAACGAGAAATAATAACAACACCTGTACAGAGAGAAATATATATATATATATAAGTATACCCTGCATGGGTAGACTTGTTTATATGTGTAAGTATGTATTCCTATAAAAAAAAAAACCAACCAAAAAATGGAAACAAACAACAAACAAACAAAAACAAACGCCGCTATTCATACACTACACATATTACACAACATGAGAGAAAATCATTACCCATCAAGATATATATATATATATATTGTAACCACAATCTCTCTTTTCTCTTCTCTTCACTTTCTCTATTTACACCTGGTACTTTGACTTTGGTCGTCCACGATGTCCCTTCTGTTTCCCACCAGCACTTCGCACGGCTGTAACGAGTTGTCCAGTCAATTCCGCATCCAACGCATCACCCTTCTTTGTTTTACTACTCTTCAGTTCCGGGAGCATTCCAACACGAATCATCTTTGCAAATGGCAGATTCGCTACCGCTGCCAACTTATATCGTCGAAAGCGAAATCTCTTAATAATCTTATGCTTTTTCATTTTAAACCGACGTGCTAACCATCGTGAGGATGGATATGGATAATTGCGTGGACCAAATGTCACTTGACCGTAAAATTTCGCCGCCCAACGTGCCGTGACTTCATCCAATTGTTCACCGTATCCAACAGGAGCCTCTGCGGTGGGTTTCTGCGCTTCTTCTTTCTGTTGTTGTTGTTGTTTAGATGATGTTTCCTCGCTAAGGTGAAACTGCAGGGGGCGGTGAGAGACATCTGTGCTGGTGATCACACGATGGCGGAAGGACTTTACGGCGTGATTTTTATTAAATAACGCCCATGCGGGTTTGCGATCAATAAATGTTCCCCGCATCGGCGTTGGAATGAGAGGGGCGGATGGAGAGAGTGGAGGAGGCCGTTGGGAGATGGGAGCGGGGAATGGTGTTGGAATGGGGGCCGTGAGGAGGGCCGCCACAGCGGCCTGTCGGGCGCAGAGAATACTACTAGAGCGCATTGGCGTTTCTTCTTTTTTTTTTTTTTTCTTCTTTTCTTTTCTTTCTCTGTGGGATAATATAATACTTTCATGAATAAAGAAAAAAAGAGAAAAGAGAAAAGAGAAATTTCATATGTGTATGTAAATATATACATATATAGATACATGAAACCAAACAATCCAATACATAAAGGTATCTATATATATATATATATACAGATAGATATATAGATAGAGATCTAGTAACAGGTTCGAAGTTAACCAAAGGAGGAGAAGGAGGGGTGGTGAAGGGTGTGGGGAATACAAAAAAAGAAAAAAAAAGTCAGAGTTAATATGAGAAAAAAAGAGAAAAAGAAAAGAAGTATCATTTCATACATCTACATACACCAACAGAGAAACAGAAACGTGAAGAAGAAAGGACACATTCATAAAGACAATGACCATTGGCTACACATTAGTAACCAGAGAAAAAAAAAGCAAACAAAACAAAAAAAAAGAAAAGAAAAAAAAAACAAAAACAGACCGCTACGCCTTTTTTTTTTCTTTCTGTCTGTTTTTTTTTTTCTTCCTTGGGTTGGATATGCAAATTCATTTCTCTTTCGTTTTTTTTTTTTCACTCTAGTTTTTAATTAATTATATATATCCTTCCTTCCTTCTTCCCTTCCTTCAGCGCCGATTTCCATTTTTTTCTTTCTTTCTTCTCTGGTTTCTCCTCTCCAGATAGAGAGAGAGAGAGACTCCAATAATATAGATAGAAATAGAGGAAGAATAATAAAATCGCGGGATAAATTTAATGAAGCAAAAAAAAAAAAAAACCCTCTCTGCCAAACACACATACAGAAAAAAAAAACGAAAAAGAGAAGGATACACACACACACACTCAAATACGAACGAAGCTCAAATCGAAAAAAAAGGCGAAGTAACATACAAAATTTGAAAGAAATTAATGCGAAAGCACCAAGAAAAGAAAAGAAAAAAAAAATGTGCCGCTATTAGGGTACAAGGGAGCAAATACAAGAAAATCAAAAAAAAAAAAAGAACAAACAAAACAAAAGAGAAAGTGTATTGCCAGCGATGGCAAATATATGTAGAAGGACTCTCACAAGTGTGAAGTCACTCTGCTGTCCCTATCGTTCTCACACACTATTTGTAGAACACCAGAGAGATAAGCAAAAATATTAAAATCACATGGTAAACAGAAATATATAAACGTACTTATGAATAAGTACATATAAGCATACCAAGCCTGGGTTTGATTTTCTTCTTTTTCTTCCTCTTCGCCAAATCCTTTTTTTTATCTTTGCTTTCAAACATCATCACCTTTATTTTTTCTCCCCCTCCCCACATATATCTTTCAAAATTCTTTGTAACCTATTCTCATGCCCTAAATACACGAACGCAAGAGGAGATAAATATGTGTAACCAGTATATATATATATATATATATATATATATATAAATATACTATATGCACATATAGACAATGTTGTCCTACAATAATACTAACTTCCGTTTCTACTTTTTTTTTCCTTCTAATTTCTGTTCTTGTGTACTCATTCTTGATATTAGTGATACTTCCTCTTTACTTTGTGTTTCTCTGCTTCTTAAAACACACACACACACACACATATATATATATATATATATTATATATATATATCACCACGTCCTTATTAAAAATTTTTTTTCTTTTTCTTTTTTCCCCTCTTTCTTCTTACAAGACACAGAGAAGTGAGAAAACACACAGAAGGGCCATGAGGATCTGCATCCACAATCCCCGGCGTCCCTCATCACTTGACATTTGTGCCTTCTTCTTTAATGCTGCCTTATTCGCAGCGGCAGCGGCTGCGCCTGGAGAGGTGGCCTTATCGTGTCCAGCCAACTGATCGGCACGTGTGGCGATGGCCTCTGGTGAGGCGACACTCCAATTCACCTGCGGGAATTTCTCTTCCAGTAATTGCAGCAGTGGATCCACAACTGGATGAAGTTTACGTGCAACCCAAGCCACTCCCGATACACAAAAGGCGAAGAGCACCTTTGGAATGTGTAGAACGTGATCTTCAAGATTCTTTAATCCTTGTCGTGCTGGTGGATTTAACCAGGAGCGGAACATTAAGTATGCCTGTACAATGAGAGAAATGGCAATACCCCATAGATAAAAGTAAAGGGCTTTATAGATTATCGTGGTTAGACGACTGATACGCAGATGACGCTTTACAAATCCCGGTGATGAACACTTAATAGTAAGTGCATCCCGAAAATCCTGTTCACTGTCGTACAAATACGTCTCTGCCGTCCTCGCCGCACTACCGCCCACATGTGGATGGTGGTTATGATGACCATTACTATGACTATTCCCATCCTGGCCGCCTGCGGGCTTATCTTGACTTCCACTCCCATCCGTCTTTCCTCCTCCTCCCACGGCGTTATTTGTACTGCCCGCGGTGGCTGCAATTTTCTCCGCTGCCTTCTCTGCGGCTCGTCGCACCAACTCCGCCTCGCGCTTTGCCTGCCACATCCGCTTCTCCTCCGCGACGAATGCCTGCAGCTTCGCGCTGGCCCGCCAGTGGAGTGGATATCCATCCTCGAGGACATTCACAGCGGAGGTGTCATTCGTGACGTAGCCGGTGTTGTTGGCGCCCAGCGTAACGGCCGCCCAGCCGCCCCACCGCCGGGTGCGATAGGCGGGAAAGAGAATGACATTATCGGCGTAGTCGAGTCCAATGAAGCGGCGGCCAATGCGATAACGCGTGAGGGCCCAGAAGTGACCCTCCACCACCGCAGGACTCGAACGACTCCACAAACGAAGCGGAAACCACGCCATATATGTATATATAATACAGTAATAGGATAAAAGGGAACTCACAAGATATATATATATATATATATATATTCTTGCTTTCTTTGTAATGGATGTGTGTACTAGTTTTCTAGGGAACGACGAATACGACTAGGACACTAGGACTAGAAGTACTACTAGTAAGAATAGTAAATAACAATAATAACTATGGCAGCAATAGTAGGTGCAACGAAAAAAGCACCCCTAACCCCCTTTTGTGGTCTTTGTTTGGGAGTATATAAATAAGTCTGATTTCTTCCTTGTTTGTCTTGTTGTTACTGACGGTGTTCGTGCTTAACGGGAGAAGCAACAAGAATAAGAAAAGGAGGGAGGGTGCCCTTTCTCTCTCTCTCTCTATATATATATATATGTATATAGATACCTTTATAAACTCTCAGGTATTCCCTTTGGCTTTTCTCTGCGCGTGTACCTCTTGACCGCACAGCTCTCCCCTGTAGTTTACTTTTCCTGTCGTCAACGTGCGTCACAGAGATAGAATAAGAGAAGCAGAAAAAAAAAGAAAAAAAAAAGATAAGCGTGCAGGAGATGTAAAATAATAATAAAAAAAAAGAGCAATAACAGCAAAAACAGAAATAATAAACAATAATGTCAAGATAAACAATATTAATGGCATTCAATACCTGACTTAGCTGTTCATTTTTTTTTTTTCTTTCTTTTTCATTTTTCTTTACTTCTTTCTTTTTTTTTCTTGTTATATCACACGTACTTTTTTTTTTAAAAACCTTCTCCTCCTCAGTGTTTGTCAGTTAACCGCTTATACAACAACACAGAGAGACAAATACATACAAAAATATCTAGATAAATCAAGTAGAGAGATACAGAAAGATATTCACACTTTCATCCTTCTCTTCCTTTCTTTACCTTGTACATTTACTTTTTTACTTTGTATGTATGTATGTTTTCTGAATTTCCGATTATATATATATATAAATATATATATATATATATATATATGTAAAAAAGAAAAAAAACAACAATAAGAACAAAGAATACGTATACGATGTATCTTGCATGACTATTAGTGATCTGTCTTTACTCGCTTATGTCGCCGCCTCTCAACTTGTTGTTGTTGCTCATCGTCCCCACCCTGTGCGGCCAACAACTCCGCCATGTCTTCACCCATTCCATCATCATCATCATTATCATCATCCTCATCTTCGCCGTTATTGTTATCATCCTCTTCACCAAGATCAACACTATCATCCTCATCCTCTTCTTCCTCATCGTCATCGTCATCCTCTTCATCTTCTTCTTCGGATGCCCCAGCCTCAGAGTTGACATCATCATTACTGGAGGAGTCAAACTCCGCATCGCTGCTGCGGGTGGAGGATTCCACACCGTAGGATGAACCACGATCTGGTTCTGCAAGCATCTCCACTTCTTCACCTCGTACACGTTTTGCACGACTTTCATCTTCATCATCTTCAGTATCTTCATTTTCTTCATCTTCTTCATAATCTCCTTCATCACTGTCAGAGTTATCAGACAAACGCATATTATCTAATGCGTCCATGTCTAATTCATCCTCGCTATCTGCCATAGCATCATCATCACTGTCTGTGGCTTTATTCTCTGAAGAAGAAGCAGCAGCCATTCGACGTGCTTTACGTAAGAGTTCCAATGCATTTTTCTTTTTATTTTTCTGCAGTCGTGGGTCTCGTTTACTGCGTACACGCACCGTGCGGAACTCACCACCGGCACAACGTATCTCTGTAAACATAGCGGGAAAAATAACACCAGTATCAGAGTTTACAAATACACTTCGCTCTGATGGACGAACAGATTTAAATATGGAAAGTCTACCATACATCGCCGCAAGAGGATCATAGAGGGCAGTCATATTTCTATACTGATGTAGAAGTGGGGCAACAAAATCCTTTGGTGGTGAAGGTGTTGTTTCACCCTCTTTGCTATGAACAACAGTCTCTTTTGTATTTGTGGTGGTAGTGGTTGTTTTTTTTCCAGCTTCTTTCTCATCCTTTTGCATTTTTAATTCCTGTTGGGCCTGAAACATTTCCACACCACGATAGTGAATAATAGCATCAATCCATACAAATAACGGAGAACGTGAATTTGCCCCTTTCACACGCTTCGCAAGAAGTTCCAGTAATTGTAAACAATACGGCAACTGAAGAGCCATTACAGTTGCACGAATATCACTCTTAGAACGTGAGGCAACTGTGAGAAGTTCCATCACCGCCGCTGCATCATTTGCGTGAAGTGCTTGATATAATGGTACAGTCGCAAGACCAAGAGCATGTTGTTGTGATGTTGATGTGTTTTTCTGTTGAAGTGTTTGTCCTTGGGTGTCTGAGGGTGTAGAGAGTGAGAGTTGTTTTAGTCGCTGCTCCAGTGTAAGAGTCTTCTGTGGGAGTTCCTTTACACTCTTCGCATGAAACGATACAGGAACTCCAAAGGCTTCTGATGGTGTATGAATGGCACGAGCGGCGAGTAATTGTTGACGTCTTTGTTGTTGTTGTTGTTGTTCCTGTTCACTGTGTGTTGTCCAGGCGTGATCCAAGACTTCCATATCGGCATGCATGGCATGTACATTGGAGTCCTTCTCTGAATGGGCCCCAGATGGAACTGTAAATACCGCTACCTCATCATCTGTGATGATTCCTCCTTCTCCTCCTTTGGTGGTTGTTGTTTTTCTCACTGCCTTTGCAGCCGCATCTTGTAGATCCAGTACTTCAAATCGTGGAACGGCAAATCGCCCACGCAAGAGTAATAACCGCCGCTCCAACACCTCTTCACCACTGCGGTGTTGTTGATATTGTTGAGAGTGTTGCTGGAGTAATGCGCCAAACAGCAATCGCCCAGAATTGACGGCCGACACCAGTCGAAGGGACGGGGGTGTTGGTGTCGGCTCCGCCACAGCCGTGAGGAGCGCAGCGCCCAATTCAAACACCAGTACGGAACCGGTAAACGTCGTGGCCACCACACACGCCTCACCGCAAGTTTTATTATTATTATTATTATTATTATTATTATTATTATTATTATTATTATTATTATTATTCTGGATTGAGGTTTCTTCCTGTACAGAGATGTTTACAATACGCTGTCCACACAAGAGACTACGGCGGCAGCGGGATGTTGCCGTTCGACTGTCCAGCGATGGTGTCGCATCCCACACACGAATGAGTCCCTCCTGCGCATTCGCCGTCACCACAACGGGATGTTGAGAAGTACCGCCCATCCACGCATAATCCGCACGAGAGGCTTGAGAGGCAAATGAGACCAAACGTTCAAATGGTACAGTGGTGTGGGTTCCACTACCACTACTACTGCTGTTGATATTGTTTTTGTTAAGACGAAGGGTGTATATGGCGTTTGTTGGACCTGCAATAAATATACGAAAATGTGATTCCACACCATTATCCATCTTCGCACTAGCCGTAGTATGCGAAAGACCTTTATTACTCTTATTACTCTTATTATTATTATTATCTGTACTATCCTGAATAACGGCGATGGCCCCTGCATCATGTTGGACACGCAGATTCCCCACCACCCGCTCCCCACGCACACAATCCACCACATGCAGCAGTCGATTAGATGCCAAACAGAAAAGATAACGGCCGCAGAATGTCATTGCCGTAATGGACTGCTGCGTATCAGAAACCGCAAGATGCTGCACAAGTTCATTCTTTTCCACATTGTGTATTAATACCGTTCCATTGCTTAATCCAACCGCGGCATAACATACAGAGGGTATCCCTACCATGATGCCTCCCTCTTTTTCTTCTTCATTTCCCTCTGCTTGACATTGTTGATGTGTATTAACACTGCCGAGGGCCAATGCGGTAAGTGAGACCACAGCGAGTGAGGCCCGATTCCGCGGTGGCACTTCCACAACCGCCGCGAGAGCCCCAGTCGCCACATCAAACACACGGGCACTTGGAAAGTCCATTCCCGCCGCGAAGTAACGGCCCTCCACCGCACAGCGGATCATAAGAGAACGCTCTGCCATGATTTGTTGCTGTTGTTGTTGTTGTTCTTCTTCTTGTTGTTGTTATTATTAATGATAAGGATGATTTTTTTTTCTTCTTTGTATGTTCCTATCACGGATAGCGCACTCGTATGTGTATACACAACTACAACTAGTGTAGAGTCAATGCACTTTTAATAGTAATATAATAATAAAACTGAAAAGAACAAACAATCACCACCACAACAACAACAACAAAAAAAAAGAACAACCCTTTCTGTGGTTTATTTAACACCACAAAGAAATAATTCTTACTAAATCAAGAGAAGAAAAAAAAAGAAAAAAAATAAATAAAAAAGAAAGAAAATAAAGAACAATATGCACAAGATTAGTTTTATTAATTGCTGACACACCTACGTGCATACCTACTACTTCGTAACAAATGCCAATAAGTTGAAGTGAAGGAAATAGTACACCACTCACAAAGAGATAGAGAGAGGATTATTATTATTTTTTTTAAAAAAGAGTTACTCCGTATTTAAAGCGATGTATATACGATTATCACAAATGCTATTTTTTCTTTTTTTTCCTTTCATGTCAATAATCTTTTGTTTTGATGTTTTGTGTATTCTCAATTCTCATTTCTTGTCCTCTCCTCTACACTCATCCACTCAATATAGTTCCACAAGTATATTCTTCTTCCTCTTATTTATTTATTTTTTTTTTTTTTGCTTATTTCCCTTCTTTCCTTAGAGTAGAAGACCAAACTCCCGCAACATCACAACTGCAGGGTTTGTGAAACTCATATCATACCAATAATTAACCGCCGCGATTAACGGTAGCGGTGGTTCATTCTTATTCTCCTTACCTTTTAACTCCATCTCTTCTTTTGTTGTTTTGGATGCCATTGAAGATGCTGCTGACATTTCCCTTGCGTGTTGGTCCTGTGCATCTGCGTGCTGGGCGACGCGGTGTAGCCACATGGCGGGCAAATACAACACCTCGCCGGGCTGCACAAACACGACGAGTGGATGGACGCGATCTCGCAGTTCACTGGAGAGAAGAGTGGGATCCTCCACAGCCGCCGGGGTGATCTCCACATCCATCCACGGTACAGTCATCCCATCTCGATGAGGAACTCCCGCAAAACTATACTTCTTCCCCTCCTCACTATTATTATTATTATTATTATTATTATTATTATTATTATTATTATTATTATTATTATTATTATTATTATTATTATTATTATTATTATTATTATTATTATTATTATTATGATTATTCCTCTTTTCTTTTTCTTCTTCTTCTTCTTTCTTTAGAGCGTAGGCGGCGGATGGCAACTCCGGCTTCGCGACAAACACGCCCTCCCACGGCGGGATGAGCACAAACTCCTTCACGCCCCGCACCACCGCATACAAATTCTCCACCCAGTCCTGGTGCATAGAAGAGACGGAGGCGGGAGTCCCAAACCACACATTCGCCGCCTCATGCGGCCCACCAAACACCCGTTCGCCAAAGCGATCCAACGCTGTTTGGATATCACTGTGTAGATGTTGATATTCCACCGCCAGGCAATTGTTTTGCATTTGGGCATAGGCGATCACAGATGCCGGGCAACGCATATCGACGAACATAGACTTTAGTGGAGGTTGTGGTGGATTGGCGCGGAGCAGATCGTAGAGTTCGGGAAGTTCAACACGCACCTCCGCAGCACACATGAAGAGTTTCTCTGTTACTACTGTACTCTCCTTGTTGTTGTTATTCTTATTCTTATCGTCATTAATATTATCATCATCGTCGTTGTTGTTATTATTATTATTAGGATTGTTTGTTTCTTTGCAGTACGTCACGTACGTTACGGCATCCGCGCGGCCGTTGGGCGTCAATGCAACTGTCACACGCCTAGGCACCACTTTCTTCTCAACATCACAATCAACAGTACTGTTATCCGTATTATTATTATTATTATTATTATTATTATTATTATTATTA